CAGTCAGCCCGCACAGTAAGGATGAGCAACTTCTCCAAGGGCGCCCTTGCATCCTTACGTTTTGCTTTGCGGCCTAAGGTTTTGCGTCTTCGAAAACCGTCCACATGGCCTTCCAAGGCCCTTGCATCCTTAGCGAGCATCCTTATTATCCAGGTCGTTCCCAATCCCGCTCCGTTGTCCATTTTGGCCCAAGCACTTTTTGCAGCCCAGGGCGCCTGATTCATCTGGCTTGTTGGGACATGGGGAAGGGCAAGACGACAGGGTTTGATGTTCCGACGGCAGAAATGAAAAACATTTTCTCCACCAATATCGTGCTCGCGGACTGTTCGCCAAAGACTTTGTTTATGTTGAAAAGCGTGTCGAAAGCTGGCTACACGAGGAATTGGGACACGGTGAAAAAAATACATAAAAATCTTATCGGACATATTGGACGCAACTTCTGGAAAAATACCACACCAGAAATCAATGTGGCAGTCTTTCAAGGAGTGGCTTTCAGACAATAAGTTGATGTGGTCACATATTGAGTCTACGAAAGCGGTTCTTCACTTGAGGATTATGCTGATGTCGCTTGCGGACCTGAAGCGCAATCATGGATCGCCGCCTCTTCGTTTTGCTTGCTTGGGCGTCCTCATGGACAAGATCGTCGTGAATGCGAAAACTAAAGGTGAAGCGAACCCCTTGGCCGAGCTGGACAATTTGTCTGATGATGAGTGCCTCGAGGTCCCTATCAACAAGAAGCCAGTACCAATGGTGGAAATCAGTAGCACAGACGACGAGCCAGAACTTCCATCTCTAAAGGTCGGGTCCGACGTTGATTTCGATGCCTTGGAGAACGCTCTTTTCAAGAAAAAGGCCGCGACGACCGAGCCTCAGGGGCTGGGCGATCTTCTCAAGAAGGTGGGCGCGGGGCCGGCGCCGACTGCGAAGGAGTACGCGGCGATGAACCAAGCAAAAAGACGCAAGACATCAAAACAACCAGAGAATGGCCATGAGAAGGCCACCGAGAAGGCCCCCGAGAAGGAGATTGGCCAGGAGAAGGCAACCGAGAAGGCCCCCGAGAAGGAGAATGGCCAGGAGAAGGCCCCCGAGAAGGCCCCCGAGAGGGCCCCCGAGAAGTTCCCGTGGGTTTCTGAGTACGTCGGCCTTGCAGACCCGCACGCCGCAGTGTGCAAGCGCGTGCACGCGAGGGCTTGGCACTCGGAGGACAAGGTGCAGAAAAAGAAGGGCTCGACTTTGGAGGACCGCAAGCGTCTTCGTTCTGAGGCTGCTGCTGCGGCCGCCAAGCAGTGGAAGGACGAGATGGAGCAGGCCAAGGCCAAGTGAGCAGGGGCGACTAGGAAGCAATGGGGGGGGGAGGATTCGGATTTGTAAACACGCTAGTTGGTTCTATGGTTTAGCAGTTTGCCTTTTCGGGGCAGCTTCGAATTTCAACAGAAACATGTTATTTCGAGGTATCGGCCTGAAGCCTAAACAATGGAGGGCAACTTAAAACTCGAACGTGCCATTTTGCGTGTCTGAGTTTAGGGCTAAATGCGAAGCCACGCCTCCTGGATTTTGTTCCGAGAAACACGCTTCGAAAAGCAAACTGCTAAACCATAGAACCAAATAGCGCGTTTACAAATAGCCCCCCTCGCGGAGGAGGAGGAGGAGGAGGCGGAGGAGGAGGAGGATTCAAGTCGCCCTGATCCCGGTGGGTAGGCTGAGGATCTGGGAGAGGCCTGTATGAAAATGGTCGGAGGAGTGGACGGGAGAGGGTGTGGGGGGTGGTGGAGTGCTGATGGATGTCCTGGTCTGGTCTGGTGGGGCGACGCTGGATCTTCTGGGAATCTGATGGGCCGGGGGTTGAGGGGGATTGCGTGTCTGAGTTTAGGGCTAAATGCGAAGCCACGCCTCCTGGATTTTGTTCCGAGAAACACGCTTCGAAAAGCAAACTGCTAAACCATAGAACCAAATAGCGCGTTTACAAATAGCCCCCCTCGCGGAGGAGGAGGAGGAGGAGGCGGAGGAGGAGGAGGATTCAAGTCGCCCTGATCCCGGTGGGCGCACGCAGGCAGCCTCGGGCTGCAAAGGCCGAGGGCCTGACGTGGATCCAGGCTGCGCGTTCGGGGTGGGGCAGCTCGCCAAAAATCAAAAGAGTGCGCATTCATCGGCATTTGAATTTGGCCTACGTGGTTGACCCTTGGAGCGCGTGTATCACCACGTGTACATTAACAACACGACATGTACACTATTGTGCTCAGCCGTGCCGTGCCGTGCTGTGCGTTGTGTATGCGTGCGCGCGGGTATGTATATACGTAACGTATGCACGTATGTACGCATGTAAATATGTACGTCGGAGCGCATGCGTGTATGTGTGCATGCATGCATTCACGCATGCGCGCATGCACGTGTGCGCACGTGCATGAGCCCTATGAGCCCTATGATCCCCATGAGCCCTATGAGCCCTATGAGCCCTATGAGCCCCATGAGCCCTATGAGCCCTATGAGCCCTATGAGCCCTATGTGCCCTATGTGCCCTATGAGCCCTATGAGCCCTATGAGCCCTATGAGCCCTATGAGCCCTATGAGCCCTATGAGCCCTATGAGCCCTATGAGCCCTATGAGCCCTATGAGCCCTATGCGCCCTATGAGCCCTATGAGCCCTATGAGCCCTATGAGCCCTATGAGCCCTATGAGCCCTATGGGCCCTATGAGCCCTATGAGCCCTATGAGCCCTATGAGCCCTATGAGCCCTATGAGCCCTATGAGCCCTATGAGCCCAATGAGCCCTTTGAGCCCTATGAGCCCTATGAGCCCTATGAGCCCTATGAGCCCTATGAGCCGACGTGCAAGGGGTGTGACAGTCTCGGGTTTCCGACGAGGCAACAGAGACAATCGGCAACACTCCGTTGTTCAAGTGTGGTGCCCATCGGTTTGCTTGCATATTGATTTCGCATAGCAAAAACCATGCTTTTTCGCCCAAACCGACGTGACAAAAAATGTGCAGTTTTGGCGCAGTTTTTGTTCTGCTGTTTTTGGCTTAAAGTGATGGTTTTTTCCAATCATTTTCCGTCCTGCCGCCATATTGGCGGACCACACTTGAACAACGGACGGCTCTCATCGCGAAGCCCTTGAGTGGCCGAAATTCGACTGGAGAATTGCTGGCCTCCTCCCACCTATGAGCCCTATGAGCCCTATGAGCCCTATGTGCCCTATGTGCCCTATGAGCCCTATGAGCCCTATGAGCCCTATGAGCCCTATGAGCCCTATGAGCCCTATGAGCCCTATGAGCCCTATGAGCCCTATGAGCCCTATGAGCCCTATGAGCCCTATGCGCCCTATGAGCCCTATGAGCCCTATGAGCCCTATGAGCCTCATGAGCCCTATGAGCCCTATGAGCCCTATGAGCCCTGTGAGCCCTATGAGCCCTATGAGCCCTATGAGCCCTATGAGCCCTATGAGCCCTATGAGCCCCATGAGGCCTATGAGCCCTATGCGCCCTATGAGCTTGGAAACCCTGGTGCGTTAGCATGTCCCTTTTTCTTGGAAACCCTGGTATGTTTGAATGTCTATGTTTGGAACCCTGGTAGGTTTGCGCGCGTGTCGTTTGGAAACCCTGGTACGTTAGCAAGACGGACTTGAGCCAACAACTAATCGTTCTCCTGTGAGCCACGAGCTCGAGCGCATAAAAAAAGCAGCCAGCAGCAGAACTCAAGCGAAACACTCCTGTTCATCATTGATCGGCGCTATTGTCCCATAGCTGTTTGGGCACAGTCTGCTCTAGCGTGCGTCGCCACTTGCGGTCCTGTTCGGTTCCAGCATGGAGCCACAGCGAGGCCAATGCCGAGAGTTCCAGCCATTCACGGGGAAGGCGTATCGCTTCGACGGCGCTCCAGCGTCTAAACCCGAAGCAGATACTGTGTTGGTGGAGGACAGCCAAGGCAATGACAATGAGGCCCGCGAGGCTGGAGCTCATCTTGTACTCATTCAGGCCATCGAGAAGCACAACGAGATCATCCGCGACCTGGGGCCGTGGATCACACTGATCCCCGAGAGCGCATACACCGTGGAAATCAAAAGCGAGATCGAGGAGGCACTGGATCGAATCGTCATGAACTTGTCTTTCTTGGAGGACGTTACCAGTCGCCGCCAGACCTCTCGCGCGCAGCTCGCGGCAGAGGTGCAGCCCTACATGGGCCAGACGCTCGACCTGTGGGGCGACATGAACAGGAAGTACGCCAGGATCGTGGAGAACATCAGGAGTGAATCTGAGGAGCCGCCGTGTAAGGCAGCACGTACTTCGGTCGAGTGAGGATCCCTGCTAGTCGGCCCAGGTCGCCGAGTGATCGGGAGTATGCCCAGCAGAACCAACAGATGTCAAATATGGCGTCAAATGTCAAACATGCATGTTTGACGTTTGCCTTTTGAAGCTAACATGAAAATGTCAAATATGCATGTTTGACATTTGACGCCATATTTGACATTTGACGTCGCTTGTCTTCTAGCTTGCACACACTGTGAACGCAGAGGGATCCCTCGAGCTTCTATAGATGTCAGTGTGAACCGACTCTTCCTGCAAACATCAGGTCTGCATCGCCTCCCCCTAGAAGCCCTATGAGCCCTATGAGCCCTATGAGCCCTATGAGCCCTAATTATGAGCCCTATGAGCCCTATGAGCCCTATGAGCCCTATGAGCCCTATGAGCCCTGTGTGCCCTATGAGCCCTATGGGCCCTGTGAGCCCTATGAGCCCTATGAGCCCTATGAGCCCTATGAGCCCTATGAGCCCTATGAGCCCTATGAGCCCTATGAGCCCTATGAGCCTTATGAGCCCTATTAGCCCTATGAGCCCTATGAGCCCTATGAGCCCTATGAGCCCTACTACACTGGTATACTGTCGTAAGTGAACCTGCCTACATCCATCCTTAGCCAGTTCGGCTCAAGCACGCTTGGCAATCCTTGATACGCGTGGTAACCTGTCCACGCGGGCCCGGGATCCCGACCAGCGCCAGCCGGATAGCAATGCCGCCGAAAATGTCAGCGGCAAGGCTGAGCGAGGTGCAACCGACACCCGAGGAGCTCGAAGCCGCGAAGAAAATATTGGCTGGCTGCAACTCTTCGCAGAGGCGGTCCAAGCTCACTTGCATGGCGCACTTCCTCAAGAACAACCCCGACCACAAAGCGGAGTCGGACAGGCAGGCCTACCTCCACTACTTCATCGTGCACCAGCTCAGGGAGAAGGACGTCACCAAGAAGTCGACGAGCCAGTACAGCCAGATCGACACCACTCAGAAGATGAAGGACTTCTACGAGTGGAGCGCAGAGAAGATGGACCAGGAGATGGGGCCGCAGAAGGCGAAGGGCTTGCGTGATAGTGGGAAGATCAAATGGCAGGCTTGCTCGCCCACTGGGAGCGTGGAGGATCACATGAAGGAATGGTTGGTACCCATCTCGTGGAAGCGCCTGGCTGAAGTCGAGAGCACTGGCAGGACCGTCACCGCAGAGGGCGAGGCCACGGAAGATGACTTCCAGCACTTGCAGTCGATGAATTCCATTTCTGCGGCGGGCTCTTCTTCAGGTGACGTCCAAATCAAGCAGGAGCCAGAGAGCGAGATTGACAAGCTGCAGAAAACGATCAACGCGTTTCTGGAGAAGAAGGAGACTATCTTGAAGGATGCTCAGGACATGGAGATCGACGCCAAGAAGGTGATTGCCGAGGCCAAGAAGAGCGAGCAGGAGAAGTACCAGGAGATGGTGATTGTCGACTACGAGAAGCACCTCGCGTGCGTATCCAAGTTCACCAAATTGATGCAGCGCCTGCTCACTGAGGAGTTCGAGCATAAGGCTACCCTCAACCTGATCACGACCAGTGATGGCATCAAGGAGACCGACACCAAGTTGAAGCAGTGGGCCCACCGCCTCGGCCTGAGAGACAAGAAGCCTAAGCGCAAGGTCAGGTGACTTGGCACCTTGGCCTGGCATGCGAACTACAATCGAAGCCTACTTGGGTAGAGTCTCGCAGGTGCTGCTTGAGGGAGGGCAGCACGACTCTGGGAGTAAGCTTGGACCGCTTACAATCGAGCCTGACAGGCAATATAGATCGGAGAAAAAATCTAGACTAAAACCGAAAAAACACACCATCGCCATTACCATGACCATGGTAGCGCAAGATAAGCGGAAGCAAAGCAATAGCGATTAAACCATAGAGCGTGTCAGATAAAATCATATACAAGGGAGCCTAATAATACCACCATAGAGCCTAACATAAACCATAGAGCCATATGAATAGCGACACCATGGACCATACAAAACAAACGAATTCAAATCAATAGCGATACCAAAAGCGATTTAAGCATAGCGATACCCTAGAGCCTGTCAATGTGTGTGTGCGTGCGTGCGTGCGTGCGTGCGAGCGTGTGTCCGTAGCCGCTCTGGCTCTGGCTATCCAGCCTCCTCGAGGGCAACCCCTCCATTGAGACATGAGACATGATTCCATATCGTACTCGTCTATGTTTGTATGCGTTGATTGGTTGCGGTGGTGCAGTTGGTGTCAGGCAGCTCCTTGAACATGATGGCCCGAGAAGCGTCTCAGAAGAGCCAGCCCCCAAACGTGCCAGGTGCTGTGGGGGCGTTCGCAACAGGGTGGCAGCAGCCGTCGAAGGGCAAGGTCCGGCAGAAAACCCGAGCGCCGACTTCATCCAAGACCTAAAGGAAGATTGGGCTAGAGGGCGAATAACCTCCAAACAAGTTCAGCGGTATGCGATGTCTGCTTCAAAAGGTGGGGCCGCTGGTCTAGAGAATTTGGAGAAAATGGGCGCTCATGGCAAACGCTCGCAAAATCTGTTCCGAGGGCTACTTCATGCGTTTGGCTTACCATCTGGAGCTCCAGAATTTACTTGGATAGAGCTGGGCACCAAGCTTGGACCTAAGACTCCGCATCCCGTGTTGCTACCGCATCAATTCTTCTCCGCGTATTTCAATCGCAGGAGGGCTGGATTCAAAAAGTATTTCACTGGTCCTAAGGGAAGTCGTGCACAATATTGGAGATCAATTGCAGACAGTGTTTTTGTTCGTTCTCACCCCGTGCTGGAGGAGAAACTTTGGGATGTGTCGATACCGCTCGGCTTTCACGCCGACGCTGGCGCATACTCAAAGCATGACAGCGTCTTTGTGATTTCGTGGAACTCGCTGCTCGCCGAAGGGAGCACGATCAACAAACGCTTTGTATACACTGTGCTTAGGAAGGCGGACATGACACCAACAACATTGCAAGATGTTCTGAAGCCGTTGGCTTGGAGTTTGAACGCGATGCTCACTGGTTGCCACCCTAATGCAGATTGGCTCGACAGACCATTGGAAGCACAGCATGGATACTTGGCGGGCGGTTATCGTGGAGTGCTTACTCAGCTTCGGGGGGATTGGCAATTCTTCGTGGAAGCTCTTGGTGTACCCCAATGGAATTGCTTGGATGCAATGTGCTGGATGCGCAAGGCAACTGGATGTGGAGATGCGTTCGGATTCAACGACTTTTTTGCTCATGCCCCATGGAGGGCAAGTCGCTGGACCCATGAGGCATACATCGATCACTTGGTTCATCGTGGCTTGAGCGTCCCAGTGTTACTTAGCATGTTAGTCGGTGTTAGACTCGATTGTCTCACAATCGACATATTACACGCTGTTGACCAGGGCGTTGCGGCGCACATTATAGGGAACGTGATATTCATCTTTGCCCTCGTGAGAGGATGTTTTGGTGGAATGAACTATAAGGAAAAGCTCGAGCTACTCAATGATCATCTCACGAAGTGGTACAACGCCACAAAATGTGAGAATAGGCTCAAGGGAAAGATAACCCAGGACCGCCTCAGGACGTCAAAAGCCTGGCCGAAGTTGAAAGGTCAGGCAGCGGCAGTCCGAAGTTTGGCACCCTATGCTCTTCACATTGTTGAAACTTTTATGAACGATTCAGTCGAAGACCAGTGCATGTTACACCTCTGCCGCGGGTTGGTAAGATTCTATGATTTAATCTACTCTGAGTCAATGTTTCTATCTGGCCAGGCGAAAGAAGAGCTTCCGCGCTTAGGCCAACGTGTGGCAGACTTATACTGCCACCTTTCTAGGCATGCATACAATTTGGGTCACAGGCTTTGGAAAGTGTCACCAAAGCTGCACCTGTGGCTTCACCTCACACAGTGGCAAGCGCCTGAGTGGGGGAACCCCCGACATTGGTGGTGCTACAGCGATGAAGATTTGGTGCGGCTAATTCTCGAGGTGTGCCATAGCGTGCACGCTTCAACGCTCACCTTCTCCGTGCTTTTCAAGTGGCTGCACTTGGTATACGACAAGTACTGCTGAGTGCAAAAATTAATGTGCCGTCCGAGGTCATATGTGGATCGCTTCGCGATTTGCACGACCTGATGGGAACTCTTGGGGTGCTGTGTTGTGCTGTGCCGTGCAGTGCAGTGCAGTGCGATGCAGCGCAGTGCCACGAAGTGCGGTGCTGTGCGGTGCTCTGCTGTGCTGTGTTGTGCCCTGAACGAATGAACGAATGTATGAATGAATGTATGTATGTATGAATGAATGAATGAATGTACCTATGTATGTATGTATGTATGAATGAATGAACGAACGAACGTAGGGATGTATGGATGTACGGACGTATGATTGTACGAATTCATACATATTGATATAAGATATATGGATTTTGTCGAAATCCACGCTATCAATTGAAAATCAACTTAGACGTGGATTATAATCCATCCAAATCATTGAAATCAATGTGAAAAATACATGATTCGTTTATTTTTGAAGTGTATATCCAAAGGAAAGCTTAAAAAGCGAATGGATTATGATGATTCAGTGCATTATTATACACTGTTTGAGCCTCTGGGGACGGCCCCAAGATGGTCCACGAGATGGAACACGAAGGCCTCGAGTTGCCGAAAGATCGGCCTAAGACGCTCAAGATGGCGCCCCGACGGCCCAGGGAACCCCTAAGACGCCCCGAAACACCCCCAAGAACTTTCCCAGGAGAGTCGGAAACGTCAAAAACCATAAGTTTTCCTTACGTGTTCGAAGGTTTTTGAAGTTTTTGCATTTTCGGCTTCTCGGCGCTCCAAGACGGCCCAAGAGGCCCCAACGATCGCCCCAAGACGGCCTCAGCAGCCCTCAAGACAGCGCCCAAACGGACCAAGACGCCCACAAGACGGCCCAAGAGGCCTCCAAGATCCCCTCAGAAAGCTCAGCGAACGCCCCAAAAGAGCCCCCAGAGGGGAGGCGGGGACCGACATTTCGAGCTCCCCGCCCAAAGATCCTCCCAGGAGACCCAGGAGGCCCCCACGAGGCCCCCAAGAGGCCCCCAGGAAGCCCCCTTGGAGGCCCCAAGAGGCCTCAAGACACCTCCAGGAAGCCCCCTCAAGCGCCCACGAGGGCACTGGGACTGTCCCAACAAGGCCCGGGACGGCTGGAGGCGCCTCGACAAAGTGCCACATCATCGAACAGACAACACGGGAACTTCAGGAGGCACCTCGAGGCACCCAAGAAGACCGTCGCCACGGCCGGGGGCCGCTCGAAACAATTGTTCCGAGGACACCGCCCAGCCGCCCAGGGACACGTGTGCAGCGTATCTGCGGTAATCCAGGATCGGCGCTCCCGTGGGACTCTCCCTCCTCTGTTTCGGGGGCGGGCCCTCCGCCCCCGAGACTGCGGGAGCCTGTGCGGTCTCTCCACGGCCGGTCCCCGGGCGGCCTCCCCGGGTCGGCCTCCCACCTCCCTCCCTCCTCCCTCCTCCCTCCTCCCTCCGCCCTCCCCTCCTCCCTCCCTCCCTCCTCCTCCCTTCTCCCTCCCCTCTCCTGCCTCCCTCCTCCGTCCTCCCGTCTGCCTCCTCCCTCCCCTCTCCTGCCTCCTCCCTCCTCCCTCCTGTTTCTCCTCTCTCCTTCCTCGTCCCTCCTCCAAACTCCCTCCTCCCTCCCTTCCTCCCCCCTCTCTCTTTCTCTCCCTATCTCTCTCTCTCTCTCTCTCTCCCTCTAAATCGTCCTCCCCCCTCCGCGTCCCGTCCCTCCTAGCATCTTCCCTCCTCCCTCGTCCCTCCCTGCTCCCGTCCCTCCTCCCTCGTCCCTCCGCCCGCCCTTCCAAAGAGAAATAATCCCCCTAAAGGGGGTACGTTCGAATACTAAGAGGGCGGGTATCGAGGGGGTGCCTCGTGATTCATTCAGGATTCACCCTTTAGTCACCCGCCCGCCAGGTTTCGCCCGCCCGATCCGCCTGTTACAGCCCGCCCGTTCGCTCTCTTGGCATCTCGCCCGCCCGCGTTAAGCCACCGCCCGCCCGACCCGCCAGCGAGGGTCCGCCGCCCGACCCGTCCGTTGGCGTCCGCCCGCCCCGCCAGCCCGACCCGCCCCTCAAAGTCCGCCGCTCGACCCGTCTGTCTGGTTCGTCCGTTTGTTTACCTCCTCTTTTGCCCCCCTCCCCTCCTGCTAACCTCTTTCGTCCTCCATCCATCCTCCCCCCCTTGCCCGTTCCCTCCTCCCTCCCTCCCCCCACTCTTTTCCTCCTCGCTCTCCCTTCCTCCTTCCCCCTGCTCTTCCTGTTTTAGGGGCTGCGCCAACTACACGTGGCGAGTAAAAAAGATATACCCCCAAAGGGGTATGACCGAAGACGAAGAGGGTGGGTATCGAGGGTTCGGGGTTTACATTTTGAGTGACGCGCGCGCATATAAGAGCGATCATTATTAAAGTGATTGTTGTTGTTGTTGTTGCTGCTGCTGCTGCTGCTGCTGTTGTTGTTGTTGTTGTTGTTGTCGTTGTTGCTCGGTAAAGCATTGACACCGGCCCCGGCTTGTTGTTGAGACCTTCTTCTTCTCTCAAAACTCAAGTGCTTATCCTGAAGGGTAAGCAAAGCTCCAGCAACCGAGGGCTTGCCTCACGGGGCCGGAGAAGGGGTTGGCACTGGGGCGGCAGCGCAAGGTGCCCCACGGGGCCGGAGAAGGGGTTGGCATTTCTGGCGCGTTTCCAGAGGTTTCCCGAGGATTTCCGCGAATCCCTCAGGACTCCTTTGGATTTCTGAGGGCTCCTTCGGACTCGCTAGGACGCCCAACCAGGGTTCCTCAGG